TGACCAGAAGACCTGCCTGAGCAGGGCAGGGGGCCAGGCTGATGGTGCAGGGCGGTCACTGAGGGGAGGCCTTTTCCCCTTGATCTCTCCTCAGGTGACCGATGCAGCAGCTGAAATAACCCAGGGCTGCAGATGACTGCGCTTAGTTACGTTGGACACCACAGATGGCCTTAGTTGGATTTAAAGAGCAATGAAATAGCACAGGAGGGGGGCCCTCTTGTGGGGGCTGAAAAAGCATTGACAGAGATATAGAAGGAATTAAAGCATTGAGTAGAAGGTGGATAAAGTGTTTTCAAAATCCCTTTCAATATTGGGATTGAACCTCTATAACAACATAGATAGAGTTGGCACACAGCTCCCTCGTCATGGGCCTACCACGAAGGGAGAGTCATCTGCATGGAGATAATGGGAAAAATTAGGCCCCTGGTCCATATTGCTCTATAGCTTATCAAGAGATGCAGCAGTTCCTCCTGCTGGGAGTTTAATTTGTGTCATGTGGACATTTCTCATTTTTTTGTTCTATAGAGGGAAGTCCTTGCAAATCAATCATATCAACTTTGGAGGAACACGAATCTCCTTTTAGCTTTGAAGAAGCTCCTTTCTTGATTTCAGACTCTGTTACGGATTGAATGTTTGCGTCCCTACCAAAATCCACGGGTCAGTATTTGGAAGTGTGGCCTTTGGGAGATAATCAGGTTTAAATGAGGTCAAGGAGGTAGGACCCTTATGATGTGATTAGTGACCTTTTAAGAAAAGGAAGTGAGAACAGAACTCTGTCTTTCCCTCTCTGTGGACACACAGCAAGAAAGTGGCTCTTGTGCCACGTTTCAGGACCACATGCATTCAATAGTGTTACAAACCAGCAACAGAAAGGTGGGCTGACAGTTCACCAGAGCTCGGCTGGGCCTGGGAGATTAGATGTTCCTCTCCCTGCTTTAGACTGTATAAATCTGTTTTTGTTTTTTGTTTGTTCATTTTTGGTTTAAAAAAAAACAACCATTCATAGGAAGGAGGAGATCCAAAATACAGGGCCAGAGTAGGGTACATTTGAATAAAAAGTAGTTTCTAAGATTTGCAGCAGGAAATGGAGCAGTGGTCCCCTCTCCCCAGGGAGCCAGGGGTCTCTCTGTCCTGAGTGGAGGTGCAGGCTGAGTCAGAGAAGAGCCGCCACACCCAGCATACCTTGATTCTGCACAGTCGCTGGACAGCCACAGTCTTTACAGAAAATTCACTGTCTTTATTTCACCTGGTCACAGAATTCTCACACTTGGCATCTCAAGAACAAAAGAAAATTCTAGACAGAAATCTTATTTATCTTCTGAAGGTTTTAGAGGAACTTGGAGGAACAGTGTTCAGATGTTTGGAGATTTGCGTGTGTGGACTTACAAACAGTAGCATCAGTGACCACGACAGGGAAATTTAGGTCTAAAGGTTTAATATTTACTGTTTGGTGTTTTGTTGTTACATGGATTTACAAAAACAAAAAAAAAACAGCAATGACAACGAACAACAAAGGACATGGATGAGTGAGGGACATCTGTGAGCAACCAGGGAAATTCCCTTTGAGATTGAGAGTCAGCAGCATGACACAGGCTAGCAGGCAACGCTGGTGAATAAAGCCCCTGGCTCCAGAGACCCTGATTATTTCTGTCCTGCAGTCCTACTGTTGAGGAGCTAAGAGAGGTGCTGAGGCATCAGGCTGGGTGATATCATCTTTGTTTTCTTATAGTTTATTCATTAGTCTCTTCCTCTGGGCCAGGCACTGAGTTTCATTCTTGTCTGACAAATGCTCACCAGTCACAATGCACGGGGAACACCCTGCATCTCACCTTACGCCATGGCACTAAGAGACGTTCGTTGTCTTTGCTTTCCAGACCCTCCCTTCGTCGTCTCACTTGCTTTGGGCAAGCTTTGTTCTCTCTTTTGGCTCCAGGACTCACTTCCATAGACTCTGAAAGTCCTGTCACTGAGGGGAGCAACTTACGTCTTTACACTTACTTACTTTCAATTACATCTTTACCAGCCAAGGGGCTGACTGCTGCTTAGTGGGATCCTGGTCAGCCTTGGGGACAGAGCCCTGAAGGTTCTAAAGATAAAGGTTTCCTTTCTGTCCTGGTCCCCGCCTTACCTTCCCCAGATATGTGAGCAGTTCCGCCTCTGAAGCCATTGCTTCCTCTCCTTCCTTTTGCCTCTTACCAGGTCTTTCTCATTTCTCCCCTGACCGAGAACATCATAATTAATTCATGGCCCTGCCTTCAGATTCTTACTGCCCCAATCCATTCTCTGTACAGCTACCCAAGAATTCTAGAGCACACATCTCTTCATGTCAGTCTCTCGCTGAACAACTGTCACTTTTTCCCTGTTACCCTCAGGATACTTTGCATATTCACAGTCTCTACTGGGAAAGCCCATCCTCTTTTTCCTTCCTGGAAAAGGAGTCATCGTTTATTACCTCCTCTGAAAGGTCACACCAGACACCTCTGGGTAGAGTTAGTCCCTTGCAGTCACTGCCTTCCTTCTTCGTGCTTCCATTGCCCAGTAACTGACAGCCCTAAATAGCTGGGGAGCGTTTTCTCAGCGGAGCGCTCTCCATGCACTCCCGCCCATGCCTCATTACATCCTCAGAGGGCCTCATAAAGGCTGTGCTCCCCTTAGCTCCATCTTAGTGGAGGAATGAGACACACATACTTAAAGGTGCATGAGATTATGCGGCCAGACAGAGATGGGGGCAGGATCTGAGCCAGCCCTGAGCCAGTGGTCCTAATCACCGCATGGCTCTGGGGCTGTGCGCCTGCGGGAGCACCTGTCACATTTCCTCATTGTGTGTCACGCCTCCCCCTCTCAGTAGCCTGAGCAGCTTGAGGGCAGGAATACTGTCTCCTTCCTCACTTAGACTCCAGCGCCGTAGATGCACAATAAATGCTTGAGGAAGAAAGGAGGACAAGGACCATGTGTTGCCATGATTATGTGAAGGAGGACATAGAAATGATTCAGCAAAATGTTCAAATTGCCTATGGGTCAGACCAGACCCATTTACTAGACCTTTAAGGGAAGACCTCGTTTTGTGAAAAATTTGAATAGTTTTTGCTACAAGTAAGAAGCTGATGTTCTGAGAAAGTTTGGACTAAGGTTGGATCAGCCAAGAAAGAAATCATTTTAAAAATGAAACTTATCACAATCAGCAGACACCTATATTATTTTAATAAACACCTAGTTTATTCACTTTGTTCCAACATGGTCTGTGTGAGTAGGGTCTGGAATCCCAGTGAGATTATTTACAAATTGCTGATTCCAGGACAAGGATCCCTAAACATCCACTGACACCTTTGAGAAGCTGGTGAAACTTTGGATGGATTCTTTCCCTAGAGAAATGCATGTACTTGTTCTAGGGACCTGACTGCTATTTCCAAAGATTTCTTATTTTCTGAGCACAGGAAAGAGCTGAGCTGGAGCTGAGGCTCAGGGTGCAGCCACCCACTGTTTCATTTGTCAGAACCCTCCCTCCAAACCTCTCTTTCCATTGCTATTAACACAGTTGGTTCCTTTTATGACTTCTCATTTCTGATGCCCTTTCCTGTTTGACTGGCACTGTGGGTAGAACAGGCTCTGTTTGATTCTAAAATTGTCATAGGAAAATATAGACACAACTACCACAAAATTGTGAAACGTTTTGTTTTTGAGTGGGGGAAGGCTGTTATGTGGGGAAAGGGTTGTATATGATTACATAGCCTTAAATTAATACTTACTATATTCAAGTTAACTTACTTAGCCAATTACTGAATATTATTGAGCACCTACTATGTGGCTGGAGTATTCAAATGAAGCAAAAATCCTTGCCCTTGGGTGTCTATGTTTTAAGCATGATAAGTCAAAATATGTTGTATGTAGATGGTAATAAATGCAAAGGAGAAAAATAAAGTGGGAAAGAGCAGCAGGGAGAGTGGGGTTCAATTTTAAATGGGGAAGTCGGGGAAGCTGTATTGAGGAGGACATTGTGGTCCTGGAGGAGATGAAGGATGGGTACTAGTTTCTCACTGCTGCTCTGACAAATTACTACAATCCTAGTGGCTCAAAACAACAGATTTATTATCTTAGAGTTAAGTCAGAAGTCTAAAACTGGTCTCCAGATAAAATCCAGGCTGGGCTGGATTCCTCCTGGAGGTTCTAGAAAGAGAGTCTCTTCACATTTTCCCATTTCCACAGGCCACCCCCACCCTTGGCTTGGGACCTGACCTCATTCCTCCATTTTCCAAGCTTTACAAGGACCTGTGACCACACTGGCCCACCTCCGTAATGCAGGATAAGCCTCTTTCAAGGTTATCTGATTAGGAACCTCTGTCCGCTTGCCGCCATACAAGGGACCACAGACTGCGTGGCTTAAATGGAAATCTATTTCCTCCAAGTTCTAGAAGCTACAAGTTTGAAATCAAGGTGCCAGCAGGACTGGTTTCCTCTAATGCCTTTCTCCTTAGTTTGTGGATGCTGTCTTCTCCCTCTGTCTTCACATGGTCTCTCTGAGTGTGTCTGTGTCCTGATCTCTTCTTAACCGGATTAGAGCCCTCCCCCAAATGACCTCATTGTACCTCTTCAAGGACTCCGTCTCCAGTCACATTCAGAGGTGCGAGGGGTTAGGGCTCCAACACGGGAGTTTTAGCAGGTCACAGTTCAACCCCTGCCACTGACTCCATTGCTGCCTTCATGGGCTTTTGCCGTGGACTCCAGCATATTCACAGGTTCCAGGAGAGAGGACATGGGCGCCCTGGGGGGGCATTATTCTGCCTAGTACAGAGGAAGCTGCACTGACATCTAGCCAAGAGTTTTCCAGGCAGAGCAGCTAGAGCGAAAGCTCAGAGGTGGGTGAGGCTGGAACTGGGCGAGCGAGAGGAGCCCGTGGTGAGATGAGGTCGTGGTGGGGGTGGGGAGCCTGCTTGTGCCTGCCCTGGAGACCCCTGAGAAGACTCTTCCTTTCTCTCTGCAGTTACGAGTGGAGGAGAGACATGACCGGACTTTGTTCTAACAGGCTTTCCCTGGCTGTTGAGTGGCGAATAGATTGAGGGGCTGACGTGGCAGGTAGGAGGTGACTGCGGTAATCTAAGAGAGGGGGTGATGTCTGGGGCCAGGGTATTGCAGGGGAGGGAGGCCCTGAGACAGGCTGGACTGTGAATGCTTTGAAGGTAGAGGCGTTAAGGTTTTCCTGTGGACTGATGTGAATGAAAGAGAAGTCAAGGATGAGTATGGGTTTTTTTGGCCTGTGCGACTGGAGGAATAAGATTGACTTATTGAGATGGGGAGATGGTGGGGAGATAAGCAGCTGCACCTGAGACACATATGAGATGTCTAGCTAGACATCCAAGTGTGAATGGCTTGTTTTCGTTATGCACTTAAAGTCAACTTTCAAATGTTTTCATTTATACAGATAACGATTCTTGTAAAAATAAGAATACTTTCACTTGTTCATTGATTTTTCAATTAACTCATGAGCATAGATTAAAATGAGTCCCATTTACAGACTTAGTTAATTACATTCCCTTAAAAAATCTTCAACCACATTTATAAATGTAATACGTTTACTTTTTAAACTCTTCAGATGCCTGGCAGGGTGTGCCGATGATATAAGCCAAGCTCTCTTAAGTACTTTAATAAATGTATAATTACAGTAAATCAAGTTCCCTTAAACCTGCCACAATTATTTATAAAGTTAAAAGTCTCTTTTACTTTTCAGCTAAAAATAAAAGTAAAGTGTCAGAGCCTCTTAAGCATGACAAATTACTGTAAGGCTTTTTTAGTTGTCAAGGGGGAAATAGATTGCTTTCCATGCTGAACTTGTAAGGATGACCTAAGGAACAGTGCTTGGGCCATATAAGCAAGGCTTGAACAGGTAAGATGCTGTTTTCATTCCAGGAGAAAGCTTACATCTGTCCAGGACACCCCTGACCCATCTTGAAAGGTGAGGAGGAGTTTTCTTTTCCTTCCACAAATGGAAACTGACTCTGGGAAAGAGCAGGTAACTTCAGTGAGGTGTAAGTGACTAACAGCTCTATGCTTTCTCTTGCAGGGCTGTATTATTGGCATCATAACAAAGGGTCCGTGCTAATTGTGGGAGTCACAAATCCTTGGGACGAGGCAGGGATCAGTGGGCTTTCTAGGCGTGGAGCTTGGCATAGCTTTTTTTCTTTCTTTTTTTTTTCTCTTTTGGTATCATTACTCTACAATTACATGAGGAACATTATGTTTACTAGACTCCCCCCTTCACCAAGTCCCCCCAACATACCCCATTAGTCACTGTCCATCAGCATAGTAAGATGCTGTAAAATCACTACTTGTCTTCTCTGTGTTGCACAGCCCTCCCCGTGCCCCCCACCTCAGTGTGCACTGGGCACCTGAATGAAACCACAGCCAACGGACAGCCATCTACTATGCCAAGCATGGTGTCAGTTTTTGTCTCATGGTGACATACGTGGTAGAGAAAGATCAGGGAATTTGGTAACAGCAATCCCTTGGCACAATAGAGACTCCCTGTCTGAGGGTAGGGTGACCAGCTTTTGATTTCAGTCCCTGTGGCTGGCCTGCTGGCTGAGGTGAGGGGTGCTGTGTCTCCTCCCCTCCTCACTGCTCCAGGCTCTGGGGGTGCCGGACTGGGCTGCCCTCTAACTCTGGGCGTGCCGCACCAGCGCTCAGGGAACTACAGCTCATCAGGGCCCCGCCACCGCCCCCTCGCCCTGTGTAATTTACCTGCATCCCTGGAGGGCCCAGATAAGGAGGCTGAGAGCTGCAGCTACCAAGGAACACGCTCTGGATTAGGCGGCAAATCCACTCTGCAGGTGTGAAGCCAGAGCTGGTATCTAGGTCTTCCTGACTCCCTTCTTCTGTGCCACCCTATGCCTGCCAACAGCCACCCACCTACAGCTACAGGGATCTGCTGGAGCCTGTAGTGGCACTAGACACTTGGAGGAGAGAAAAGAAAAGGACCCGTTCACAGCAGTATGAGGGAGTTACTAGGGACAGCTCTGGACTAGTGCTATGAGTTCTGACTTCCGTGTGAATGGTGAGAGAGAGAGAGAGGAAGAGGGGGGAAAGAGGGAGACAGAGGGAGAGAGAAGTGGGAGAGAGAAGGAGAGAGGGGCAGAGGGAGAGCCTGCCCACTAGGCTGGTGGCGAGGGCTTGGGAGTGCTCTGGGAGGGCCCAGGAGTCATTCAGGCAGGCAGCAAGGACCCAGGCTGAGTGCAGGCATAAAAGACACATCCCACCTCTCCCCCTTCCCCTCTTTCTCCCCATCTCCCCCTCTCTCCCTCTCTTTTATAGTCCTTGACTTTTGTTCAGTTTGGGCATTTGCAGAAGTTTTGCGATGAGGCCTGTTCCCCTGCTTTTTCACATTAAGAGATGCTGGTTTTTTTGAAGGGGACAAGCCAGAACCAATGATGTTGTCCCTCTGAGGCCTAGGACAGGGAGAACCAAGCCCGTCAGTCTGTTAACTACTGGAGGTGAATCCTGGAGGGAATGCTTTGTAATTCCAGATACTAAAAATGAATGGTGCTATGGAGTAACTGTTAACATATGCTGCAAGATGTTTATGATTCCCTGGAGCCAAATAAGTAAACATTCCTCCAACTTGCGCTGCAGGAGATAGGCAATTTCACAAAGAGATGCTTTCTCCATTTATATGAGATGACAATGTGCAAAAGAAGAAATACATGTCCAGGGCTCCGTCTAAGGCCCGTGGCCAGGGTGCTTGCACAGGAGGCCGGGCTGCAGACCTGCTGGGGCATCATATGGTCCCGCTGAGACAGGGAAGGTCAGTTTCGAGGTCTTTTACCTTCCTGTGGGTGGAGAGGGGAGAGACAGAGATCGTTCTTGGCTGTAGTCTTTCAGAGCACTGAGCAGGCTGGGCACACCGACTCGAGATTAAACTGCGTTGGAAGGAGGCCTGTATACGGTCAACGTCAGAAATCAAAAGAGGCTGTGTGAGCGGATGGAAAGGGCACTGTTAGGGGTTGAAGTGTGTCCCCAAAATAGATATGTTGATATCCTAACCTCTGGTACCTCAGAATGTGATTTTACTTGGAAACAGTCTTTACCGAGATAATCAACTTAAAATGAGATCATTAGGGTGTACCCTGACCTAAAACATCTGGTGTCTTTATAAAAAAGGGGGTATTTGGACACAGGGACAGGCAGACAGACAGACACACACACACACAACACCACAGTGAAGATGGAGGCAGAGATTAGGGCATCTACAAGGCCAGGAAACATTAGCAAACATCGCCAGCAAACCCCCAGAAGCTGGGGCAGAGGCATGGGACAGCCCTCAGGAAGGGCTAACCCAGCTGACACCTTGACCTTGGGCTTCCAGCCCCAGAACTGTGAAACAGTAAATCCCTGTTGTTTAAGGCACCCTGTTTGTGGGCTGTTGTCACAGCAGCCCCAGCAAACTAATATAGGCACTTTGTCTCTTTTTTTATGGAGCTAAGTTCCACAGGGACAGGGATTTTGTCTTACTCATGGTATATTAATAGTACCTGGCCCAGAGGAGCTGTTGAACAAGCATTTGCCTGAATGAACAGGCCCTTTGGGGGACTTAGGTTATTTGACCAGGGACGCACAGGGACAGCAATAGCCACCATTTGCTAAGCACCTGCTCTGCAGACGTGGTGCTCGGTGTTTATGCAGGTCACCTCTAGTCCACAGTGCAAGCAAGCCGAGGCACAAGTCTTACTTTTCTCATGCTACAAATGGGAAAATTAAGGCTAAGAGAGATGAAGGAAATTGCCCAAAGTAAAACGGCAAGGAAGTGGTGGACTTGAGGTTGTAGCTCAGCCTGTCTGACTCCAAGGCCCTTGGTCTCACCACCAGCCAGAGCATCAGTGGGGACCAGGCGGGCCGCTGGAGCCAGACTCACCTGGGAGCAGGCCTCAGGGAGCAGTTCAGGGCCAGTGCTCCAGACCCTAGACAGGGTACTGAGTGAGTCCACTACTCAGGGCTGCTGGAGAGGGCAACCCAGGCAGAAACCTGATTAACCCAACTGGGCCAGAAGGTGGGCACAGGACTAGGGGAGGAGGGACAATGTGGGCTGTGCAGAAGCCATTGGCCAGTACAGCAGCAGTGGGCTCTGGGTTATCAAGATGTGCATGTGTGTATGTGTTGTTGTGAGGGTATAAGGCTGTGGCTTGATGCAGGTGTGTAGATCCGGGTGACCTGCCCTGAGCTCTGGGGAAGATATTCAGCTAGAGACTGACTATGTCTTAAGCTGGCTGCCCCATGGCGGGCAGGTTGGTGGGAAGGTGGGCACAGCTGAGCTCCCAAACCAGCAGCCATTCCCTATGCTGTGGCTGGCCTGCTGCTGGCACTGAAGCTATGCAGCTTCATAGGTGAGGCTGATGTGATGTAGAAGGTCAAGAGACACATTTTGGAGGCCATTCAAAGGACATTTTCCCTGATGTCCCCTTCAGGGCCACCTGAAAGTGAAGCTCTTTCCTTTCCCACCTCATATCTGGGAAGAAGGAATTCTTCTGCCCAAATCTGAAGGCTTTTCCCACTTAATCTCTAGTCCACAGGATAGAGGAGCAATTTCCAGCATCTTCTATACAGAGACCCACGTTTAGAGGCATGCCCATTTTTTCTACCATTATATCACTGGTACCTAGTTCCTGGTACATGGTTCCTTACCTAGATGTTTATAGAATCAATAAGATGAGAAGCATGTTTGGTGAACTGTCCATACCACACAAAGAGCTCCAGTAGAGTGACCTTGTCTCATTATAGGGGCAGAGGGCAGGGGACATCTATGAGCCAGTGGGCTTTCTGGTAGAGGGAATGGCCTTGTTAAAAAGGGGGGTCCTTGGGGGTTCTGTGACTGGGGACAGAGAGTTCTTTTTGGTTTGCTCAGATCTGCTGAGCTAGCACACTGGGCTCCTAAGTAGTGGGGGTGTGAGTCTCTGGGGCTATCCAGATTTACCTCTCCTCAGTATCGTAGTTGTGATCACTATTATTATTACTGCCATGGTCTCAGACCTGTATGAATCAGCAGTACTTCTAGAACATTATCAGGTGCACGAGCTCCTGCAGAATCTGTTTAAAATGCAGGTTCTTAGGCTTTTCCACCGCAAATCTTGATTCAGCAAATCTGGGGAAGGACCTGAGCAACCTGCCCACAGGTGATTCAGGGGCGGCTGGTCAGGGGATCACACTTGGAGAAATGGATCCTTAAATTTCATCATCTGTGGAATGATGAAGTTACATGAGCTCTCAGGTATCTTTCCACTGGAAACGTCTAGAATTCTTTTCAATGGTGCAAAATATAAGTGTAAGAAGCTTACATTTCTGATGTTGAAGATTGAACTGTGATGCCTGCCTGCCCTTGACTGTTAATGTGCTTCAGAAAGTTGTACATTTCACTGGCTCAGACGTTTGCCTGGCTTCCTGGCGTGTCTGAGAGTCAGTACCCCCAAAGCTGGAAGGAAGATGGTGAACCAGAAAGGATGTGGCCCTGCAGTCTCGGGCAGTGTACCTCTCTCTGCTGTCCTTATAGATCACAGGGATGCTAATGTAGGGGAATGTGCACAGTTTCAGACTCCAGCTCCTGGGTGGGGCGGCGGGTGGTGGGGGGAGCACTTTCTTTGATGTCTGGAAGTAACATGAAAAGAGGAAACCCATGGCTTGTGTTGGCCTCCTGCGGTGGAAAGTCCCAGACTGAAGCCTCACCCTGTGTCCTCACACGTGAGATGGAAGGATTGAAATGAGGTGCTGGTCCTTCTGGGAAGGACAGATGACACAGAAGGTGACTGAGGCAACCTGGGCCCTGTTCCCACAAAAGGCCTTCGCACCTCAGGGTGTGACCACCGCCTAAAATGTGCCAGAAGGAGCTGGCTGGTTGAGGCTTTGCTTTCCTGTCACAAAGAAGTCCTAGGGTGCTGTAGAATCTCAGTGAATAGCTATCTCAGGTCACCC